TTAGGCCACCCGCCATCGGCTCCGCCCACACCCAATGGCCACGCCCCACAACCTGCACCTGACAGTGAGCAGGACGACCAGGTTCGTTTATATCTGAATAAGCTTTTATACTTGACTTTAAAAGTTCAGATTGGAGCTGATTTGTGATTGATTTTGAAAAGACCATGTGACCTTTGACCCCTCAGGAGCTGGTTCTGGTGCTGCAGGACTTCGTGGCGGTGTGGGAGGATGAGATCTCCCTGTTTTGGGGGGAGAAGGTCCAGATTCTGGCGTCCAACCAGCAGGGTCAGAGTCTGGTTTAATACTAGTACATACACTTCAAATACTGTAAGCCAATGGGACCAAAGGCATGTTGGGAAATGAAGTATGCACTACAAGAGATGGGGAGCAAAGGTGGCGATGCCAGCTGGTCATCATGTCTTGTGCCTCATTCCCATCAGATGACCTCATACATAACCATCCAAGTCGCCACTGTGGTACAACTGGGACAAACTGTTCACGTCCTACGATTTATAATCCCAAGCTACAGATATCTGCACATTTCTGATACATTTGGTGAAAAGAACTAAAGAAATGCTAACAGACCTGATGGAGACTGGCTGCAAAAGCTAAATAAATTTGAGTATTAACAAGGAATCCACCTTGAATGTTACGGAACAGCTACTTAACCCAGGCTGATGTGTGCTGGGGTTCTCTCAGGCCTGAACAGAAAGTCTGACTTTAATTCCAACAGGACAACTGTGAAAACTGCAGAAAGTTAAATGGGACCAAAACCTTTTTTTAACTGTTGAGTTGAATTATGATCAAAACATGTACCGTAATTTCCGGACTATTGAGCACACCTGAATATAAGCTGCACCCACTAAATTTAAAATGAAAAAACAGTTTGTTCATAGCTGCAGGTGTCCACGTTGTAACATGAGATATTTCGGCAGCCAGATCGATCGCCTTTAACTTGAAAGCTGCATCATATGCATTTCGTTGTGTGTTTTCCATGATGAAGGTGTGTGCATGAAGCGAAAAAAGTTGCAGTTTATAATCCGGAAATTACAGTAAGAATTTGTAGAAAAGTAAGGACTTGTGTTCAGCTTTATATCAAAATGCTTTACTGATATCACAAAAATCTAAATGATAAAAAACGAATGGGTCAGTTAAATGAGATTATCGCGTCAGAATATAAAATTAATGCATCTTGTTGAAATGCACATCAAAAGTGCAAAAGTGCTCAAGGTCCAGGACACAATAAATAAGAATATTTACACCCTCACAGTTTGAAAACACACACACACACACACGTTGAGGCTCGGCCACACAGCAAGGAGTCAACTAAATGTAAAATGAAAAACTGCCTAGCAGCATAGTGATACTGGTCATACTGGTGGAGGATTCTCAGCTTGTCTTTGGCAATATGATGTCAAACATAATTTTAAGAATAAGCAACATTTAAAAACTGAAGTAATCAGTGCACATGGACCCTTTTAAGCCTTGATGTAAAAATGAAAGACCCAGGTCAAGCAGTTGTAGCTCTACTGTTAATGTGCACAGCCCAGGTGAGACACCACAAGCTGATAATCCAGCTGTGCTGGTCTGACTAAAGCTGCTGTCCTCCATGTTGGAGCATGACACATCTCAGAGCCACACTTCCAGCTGCAGGCGGGTGCACAGTTCCTTTAAGCTTCAGAGATGATCACTTAGGCAGATGTGCAGTGTCTCTGCTGTGGCTTTAGGCTGTGGACACACCCAGCACAGTCTGACCTCCACAGGAGGACAACACTGCATGCACCCACTGATCCATGAGAAAACCTTGTGTGTTTAGTGAAAAGCACCATGTCACTGTGCTGCTTTCACACCTCAGTCAAACTCTTCCAGGTAACTTAGGCCACCTGAGAGTTGTGTTGCTAGGATCACAGCAGGGCGCAGGTGCCAGAGCGGGATCGCTGCTGCACTTGGCCTCTGTTTGTGCCCAGGTTGCTGCTGCCGGTGGCAGGGGACACAGGCTCTCCCTGGGCGGCTGTGTCCTGGCTGACGGTGCTCTCCGCTGGGGTTGGATCCTTGCTGTGTCTCTGTTTCGCCCTGGAAGAGGACAGCTGTCTGAAGATGGAGCGCTGAGAGGAGGACATTAGGAGATTAGTGTTAACATAATTAAAGCAATAGATTTAAACTTCAGGGTCTCACATTATTAATAACAACTACACTACCCACAAGCTTTAGGGAGTTAATAGAGACCTGAAGTGAAACCAGGGCTTCCAGGTTTTGCTCCAGACACAAGAAACCCTCATTCAAATTGGCAATAATAAGTAATTGTACATGCACACTGGCACCACTGCCGTGGTTCTGATGCTGGACATGATTAGCCACATCTCGTTAGACATGACAGTCTGCAGGTCATCTGTTTGCAGTGAACAGTCAGCCAATCACTTCAGCTCCCTCAGCAGTTCACTTTACAAAGTGCCAAATTCTCCACTTTTCTGCAATTATCTCCTCTGTCTGCTCACTAGTGAAGGAAGAAGTGAGAGTGTAAATATTCTTTAGAGCATCATCACAGCCATACTTTGTTTACATGCTCATTGTGTCAGTTCATATCTGATTTCTGAATCCATCTGGAGCTAAATATCCAGGTTTCTGAAACCATGATATGCTGCAGAATAGTCATGGGCATTTCAAAGCACCAACTGACATTTGTCATGACTAAAAAGCTAAAAATCCAGACCTACAACATAGTGCACCCCTGTCCAAGTGTGACATGTGGAAACATGTTTGAGCCAGCAGAAGATCTGTACATCCATGTGTCAGCAGACGTCTTCTTCTTGTACCTTTTTGCTGGAGCCTGATTGGTTCTTGGAGCCGCTGTCTGCAGTCCCATTGACTTTTTTCAAGCCGTCATCGGCCTTGTCTTTAGCTGCAGTGTTGGGCTCTGCAGTGACTTCAGCTGCTGTGGGCATCAAACATTTTCCCTCGTTAGTGACTTCATTCCCTCATTTTCCCCTTATAAATGTACAATCTGTGGATATATGTTCCGTTTTATTGTTTCTGAGCATCCACAGTGGTGGAGAAGGTTCAGATTATTACTATGAAGCACTAGTATACCCCACTTTAAAAGTACTCCAGTGGTATGAAACGACAATACTCCAGTAAAGTACAAGTCCCTCAGATTTGTACTTCAGTACTAAGGTTACTCTGCACCACTGATCATTTGTGACTGAGTGAAACAAACCTCTGTCACCTCTGGGCTCCCTGTTGGGTGCAGGCGCTGTCTGCAGCTCACCAGGCCCCTGTGGAAAATCACACGTTAGCTCCGACAGGAAGAGCCAGTGAACGTCGTGCTTTAATTTCAGCTCTATCACTTACAGGCCTCTGTTCTGCTGCTCCCTCCATCTCAGCTGATGCATAGTTCTCTTCTTCCTCATCGTTGTCATCAACACTGTCTTCCTCCGGTTCCTCCTCACCTTTGCTCAACTTCTGAGCAAATCCTTGGGTCAAATCCTAAAGATGTGAAAGACACATCATACAAGCACCGCAACGGACATTAGCTGCAAAAAAGACACAATCAAGTGTTGATCAATCTTCTTCACATTTTAAGACCACAAGATGGAACAACTGGATGCGTATGAGCTCTACCTCTACACACAGGTTAGGAGAAGCAAACTGGGGTGGGAAAGGACCCAGTGTGGGAGAGGGAATGACAAAGAATTACACAAATCCTAGTGAAACTGAACAGAAAGATGTGGCAGTGATTGTGTTTCTTAGAGAGCAGAGGTGAGCTGCTCCAGACTACAGCAGGGGATGATGGGAGAGGGTCACAGCTGGGACTCTAAACACAAAAACGGGGACGAACCGAGCCCACCTGATCCCCAGACAGAGGAAAAGCTCATCCTGTGGCAGCATCTGCACTTCGTCAATGAACTGACAAGACCTGAAAACACTCACTTATCCAGGTGCTTTACGATGAACTTTATTGACAAACAAAGCTTCACCCTGGCTTCTGGTCCCCTTTTCACCATTTTATAGGCAAAACTACCCATTAACTACAAAACTACTGAGAACTTCACTGAAAATAGTACAAGTCCAAATTTGATCTGTAGCCATGATAAAAAAAAAAAAAAAAAAAAAAAAAACACAAAAAAAACAAAAAACACATTAAAAGGAAAAAAAAAAAAAAAAAAAAAAAAAAAGAGTCTCAACATAAACAGAAACGCATTAAAGTGCACGGGAGAAGAGGAGGAGATGTGATTAACACTGGGTATGTACGGTACTCACACTAAGTGACCGTGTGAGTAAACCTGAGGTACTTCTACTTTAGTAATCAGTAACATGCAATCCACTACATTTCACTGGGAAATACTGTGCTGTCTCCCGAACTGCATTTAACTGACAGTTACACATGAAGAGTTTTGCACAGAGATTGTAATTTTTTGTAAAAAATCCCAAAATTTCATGGTTCCAGCTTCTGAAATGTGAAGATTTGCTGCTTTACCTTTTAGGTATTTCATATTTATTTTTAGTAATCTTGAGGTTTAGACTATTGATTGGACAAAGCGGTTTCATCCAAAAAACAGCCAGTAGACAGACACAATGCAGGAGGTTTACATGTACTGGAGTATTTTTACAGTATGGTATCAGTACTGCTATCTGAATACTTTCCCCACCAGGTCTCCCTGTAAGCTCACTGCTCAGGGACCTCGTCCACCTCAAACATCATTTCCGAGAGTTGCACATGGAACAAGACAAACGCAGCGTAAAGCTAATGACATGACGGTACAATGGTAATGATACATGAAAGCAGTCTGTAAAGCCTCATTGATCACTTTGATCACTAATCAGTTAGGGCTCAGTTCTGATCACAGAGCAGAACACACCTAGGCAGCAGGAGAAAGAAACCCTTCTCTTCAGAGACATTTGGAAGCTGCCGAACAGAGGAAGCACAGCACATATCACATAAGAGCCAAAGAAACACAGCCACGTTTCTTGAAGAACAACTCAGAAACGCCATGAACGAGACAAATGGAGCAGAGACCCAGAGCGAGGTGAGCTCACAGTGACGTGGTCATTAGTGTCCCGCTGCACAGACTCCTGGTCAGACCAGACCAAGCTCATCCTCCACAGGAGACTGACTGGAGTTCTGTCTCCCACAACGCCAGTTCACCAGTCAACTGACTGGCCACAGAACAACGAGTCAGCGGTTCTGTGATTCAGCTGTGAAGCAAAAACACCACATTGTCTGGTTCCACTTCGCGGCCGCTGCTCCATTCAGTCGAGGTCACACTAAAAGCTGCTGACACATTGATCAGTAATATTTCTGGATCCACGTTACTTCAGGGTGAGGTACTGAGGTAGAACATCATCCCAGAACTCCGCACACTTGCCCACTGCCTGACCTTTGACCCCTGACCTCGCAGATGGAGCACCTTGTCTTTTGACTTCAGCAGACTTTTGCTTTGTGACTAACTCTTCTTCTTCCTCCTCTTCATCATCATCAACCTCTTCCTCCTCAGACTCTTCATCTTCACTTTTTTGTTCCTCCTCCTCTTCACTCTCTTCTGATTCTACCTCTTCCTTTGCATCTTCTTCCTCCTCTTCCTCTCCTTCCTCACTCTCCTCCTCCTCCTCTCCTTCCTCACTCTCCTCCTCTCCCTCTCCTTCCTCACTCTCCTCCTCCTCCTCCTCTCCTTCCTCACTCTCCTCCTCCTCATTACTTTCCTCTTCCTCCTCACCACTACTCTCCTTTTTCTCCTCTTCCTCTTCTTCTGTCTCACTCTCTGCATCATTCTCTGAAGATGTTAAAGACCCACTCTCACCCTCCTCTTCATCACCATCACTTTCCAGTTCCCCCTCTCCTTCCTCACCCTCCTCCTCCTCCTCAGAATTTCCTTCTTTGCTGTCTGTCTCATGACCTGACCCTTCATTTTTTCCCTCCTCTTCCTCATCCTCTGCATCACTGTCTTTCCCTTCACTCACATCTTCACTTTCACTTCCTGCCATCCTGCTTGTTTCCTCCTCCTCCTCCTCAGCAATGCTCTTGTCTTTTTTTCTCTTTCCTGCTTATCCTCTGATTGATAAGTGTCACTGTCTTCTTCTGTTACTTTATCAGTACTGTGACTGTCTTCTTCCTCCTCCTCCTCACTTATTTCTGAACTTGTTCTCTGCCCTTCCTCACCTTCATCCTCCTCCTCCTCATGTTCGACCACTGAGTCCAGCTGCTCCTTACTTTCTTCCTCACTCCCATTCTGGCTCATCCTCACTTCAGGACTGTCAGGTGCAGGTGTGACGTCGATACTAACTGCAGATCTGTTGCTAAAATCAGCAGCGGGGGACTCGGGTTCCTCACTTCCTGATTTCATCGCGCAGTCTTTCAGGACAGCGCACCTGCTCTCAGATGCCGACTGCCAGCCGGATGCCACCTGGTGCATTAGGAGTGACCCTGCTGCCAGTGAGGCAGCCCCGGCAAGCACACTGAGATTTGTTGCTGTTGTTTCTTTTGCAGCTTTGGCCCGAGCTTCTGTTTTGTTTTTATCATCCTTTGATTTCTTAGAGAAACCTGTGTTTTCTTTAGATTTGGAGTTTGTTTCCACCTCAGGCCCCCGTCGAGACTCACCTGTGCCACTCAGGTGATATCCACTTGGTGAGCTAAGTCCTGCACATAGACTTTGCTGCCTGCTTTTAACTCTCACAGATTCAGCTTGCACATGTTGAACTTCTACTGTAGATTCAGAGCCAACACCTAAAACTGTCTCTTTTCTTTCTGGCTCTTCAGGCTCTGTGACCAGTCTCTTGCCAACCTCTAGCAGCCGGCCTCTCCCCTGAACAGGCCGGGGACGCTGCTTGGATGCTGCTTTCCTAATATCACCTGCACACTGAGGTTTGTTTCTACTTGGCTTCCTCTTCAGCTCCTCCAAAGCCAGGACCAGATTCTCCTTGTTCTGGTGGACAGGCTTCTTTTTCTGAGAGACCAGAGAGAGAGCTCTGTGGCCCCTTGGGAACTTGGTGGGTAACGCCCGGCGAGGAGAGACAGAGGAAGCCAAAGACAAACTGCTCTGCTTTGAGAGCTTTCCCTCCTTTCTATCATGCTTACCATTCCTCTATCCTCAGCACAGCAAGAGGAGGATGAAACAAAGGCAGCATTAGAGAGGAACAGAGACAGACAAGCAGACAATTATGAAGGAATCATGGAAAATGAAATAATGAGAGGAGCCTGATCACAATATCAGATATGTTAGTGGATGACTTCAGCTCATCACACAGTGAATGAGGGCAGAGCAGCTCAGAAACGTGCTCATGCAGCATCAAGGTTTCTGCATATCTCCCACAGCTGTTTACAGCTGTTCACAGCTGTTCTATGGAGATAAAATCCTATCAAAAATGTTACAAATGCGTGTTTAACGTTTTGTCTGTAACAAGCGATTTGTGTGTGTGTGTGTCGTGCTGTACAAACTGCACGTAAAACACATTTTACAAATGCTTAAAATCAATTTTTCGTGTGCAGTTCTTTAGAAAGTACGTACACATTGTTACCTACGCATGCGTGGATCGTCTAACACACACGAATCACCTTCCGCGCACACACGGATTTTTGAGAGTGTTTTTCCGCACTCTCAAAAGTCCACGATCCACGAATGCACGGTGCGTATACGGACACGTGGAAAACTCGGACATCTGAATTGCCAAACAAAAGTATTTACACAACGCTATTCCAAATGGACATTACATAAAATAAACAAAAATATCTAATACATAACACGTTTTAACACAGAACATCTCAGCTGCCTGCAGTTTGTGGTGTAATTTTTATATATTTAGAATTTAGAAGTTATGAAGCTAAAGTTAATGTTCCGCCCTGCGAAGTTTATAGTTTTTCAGTAGGGCATATTTTAGTGATGCACACAGCTAGTAAGTTTAGCATGAAAACAGTCACAGGTTGTCTCTCCTTCGAGTCTACGTTAAGTCTTTGTAAGTAATACTACGGTTTATTTGAGAGAATGTAATTTACTTAACGATGTGTTAGTTACGTGTGTTAGACATTTTTACCGCGACGCGAGAAATCGATCATCTTGTCCCAAATGGATCAGCTGTGCTTCTTAAAAGCGAGATTTTTGTCATGGTTGGTCGAATGATAGGACATTCAATAATAAATGGAGGGCCTCCCTTGTCAGGGCTCAGCTTGCCAGTGGTGCATGCTTTGACAAGTGGTTCAAAGGAATTGGCCATGTCATACCTGTGCCTGGAGGACTGCCCAGACATTGAACATCAACAGACTATTGGTCTGGTAAGCAACATGTCAAATCTTTTATACATAGTTAAATATAGAACATGGTAATGTTACTTACAAAGACTTAACGTAGACTCGAAGGAGAGACAACCTGTGACTGTGACTGTGTCAGATGTCCCAGTTTTCCACGTGTCCTTAAACGCACCGTGCATTCGTGGATCGTGGACTTTTTGAGAGTGCGGAAAAACACTCTCAAAAATCCGTGTGTGCGCGGAAGGTGATTCGTGTGTGTTAGACGATCCACGCATGCGTAGGTAACAATGTGTACGTACTTTCTAAAGAATTGCACACGAAAAATTGATTTTAAGCATTTGTAAAATGTGTTTTACGTGCAGTTTGTACAGCACGCATTTGTGAACCTCATGACACACACACACAAATCGCTTGTTACAGACAAAACGTTAAACACGCATTTGTAACATTTTTGATAGGATTTTATCTCCATACTGTTCTGCCTGCATCAGCTTAGTTGCTGAGTTTGCTGAGTTACCTTCTGAACTGGAGACAGTGTGAGCGTTTTATCACTGGGGTCCATCTTCATCACATGTGTCTATCAGGAGGAAAAAGGGGAAACAAAATGTTTTAACAGGCTGCTGCTCACGTGGAGGTCAGAGGTCAAATAAAGAGCTGATCTCTCACCATGTTCAGGAAGTCTGTGGTTTCACCCAGGTCTTTAACGCTGTCAGTGTCCGTCAGGCTCTCCACGGCGCTGCTTGTCTCGCCGCCTGTCTGCTCTGACCAGGGAGAAAACAGGATGCCATGTTAGTTTAGTCAAGTCCAGCCATGCACCCTGATTCACTCTGGTTTTATGGAGCAGAACAGGCTTGTTGACACAAATGAGAAACAATGAAACATTCTGATTCCAGCGTGTCGAATAAACATTTTTATCCTTCAGAAATGAAGGAAACCTACAAAGACTGAAGCGGAATTTGTCTTCTGTCCTTTGTTATAATCCCAGATCTCATAGTTCTATGTGAGGAGGCTTCTGGTTTTATGTTTAAAGCTGCTGGAACAGCCTGAAGGTGTTGAAATCTTTGGGCCTTAACACAAAACCTGACTCCACGTTTTTATTTTTTACTGCTTTCTGTTGAAACACTTTGGCCATCTATAATCTCCTTTGTTTTCATTTGTTTTGGTTCATTTATACTATTTTTAATTGCATGATAATTCTTCGATTACTACTTATGTATTTGTCAGTTCTAGTACTACTCTCTGTAGTATCTTATTATCAAGTTGCCCATAAAGTTCATTTTGCAGGTAGGTTAGAAACCTTTTGAGCAGGTCACTGGATGGGATTTATGCAAAATAACACAAACATAGAAACCACTGGACTGGTCCTTTAAGCCACAGTGACCAGCTCTGCTAACACAGCAAATGTGAAAAAGTGAAAAGAAAGAAAGACCACGTGAGCTTTTTAAGTGTCTTTCCTACAGCAGGTGTTCTGCTGGTCATTAAACTTCTAGGAAACGGGAGGGTGCAGAGGTGGAGGAGGAGGAGGAGGTGGAGGTGACGTAGGTACCCTGGTGCAGTGACCCTGCGCTCCCGTGTAGGTGAGGACCGTTGAGCACCTTTCTGTGGGTCAGCTCAGGCAGGACAGTGTGGCTGGTGACAGGCAGCAGGGGTTGGAGGGACATCATGGCGGGCAGAGTGCGGGCGCCCAGCTGGTCTGGAGATCGCTCCTGTGGTTAGAGGAGCAGGTTTTAGAAGCAAGACTCCTTCTGATTTGTTGAAATCCTTCTTTTTTGCAATCCTCTACAGGATTCTACAGGATATGTGGTATAGATGATCGATGGATGGATTTTTGATTTTTCTTTTACAGGAATTAATATCTTTGCTGCTTTTACAGATGCAAGTGACTATTCGGTGTCATATGTGTCCTAGTGGCCAATATCAGTCCTTAACTGAAGACTGTTCTCAAACAATAACAAATCACAACTACATGAAACTACCAGATAATAGAAAGTGAAAATAGAGCAGGACTGAATGAGAGCGAGAACAGCCTCGGCCCTGTTTTGTGAATC